CACACCCACTGCCTGGAGTCCATTCTGACCCACAGCGCCCCTAGAGGACAGAGTGGAACTGCCCCACAGGGTCTCCAAGGCTGTCAGTCTTCACGGAAGCAAAGCCCAAATGACACCCACTGCCTGGAGTCCATTCCGACTCACAGCGCCCCTAGAGGACAGAGTGGAACTGCACACAGGGCTTCCGGGGTTATGGTCCAAAGCCGACTGCCATTTCTCTCACCCTCCTGTAAAGACTGCCACCTGGAAAATCCCTGGGGCAGTTCTCTCACTTGGGGTTGCTATCTGTCCCCATCAACTGAACAGCACACATCACCCCTGCTTGTAGCAATCCTCATGAGTGATCCCCCTCAGCAACCAGTTCTAAATGCACTCGCTTGAGCACAGGTGTGTCCCTACAGGAGGTGAGTGAGTGAGTAGTCACTTGCCCCTGTGATGCAATGGGACCTGGAGTGGGGAAGGCCCCAGCCGATGGTCCTCGGGGCTCCATGGGTCTGGCCCTCCCTCCTGATCCCAGCAAGCGTGGGAAGGTGCCAGGTGCCACGGTGACTTGGCAGCCTGTTCTGATCCAGGCCCCCCTCCCCGCCCGCACCCGGAGCGTAAACCAACACCTTGGCCTCCACTATCTGGGAGCACACAGAAACATCGCAGAGGACTAATGTCCCCCTAATGAGGGGGCAGTGACAGCCGTCCTCGTGTGCTTAATGGCGGGGGTAATTCATCGTAGCACCTCTTGAGAGCTGACATATTGGGGCTATTGATTTTCTCCAGCAAGATCAATATGTGGTGTGTGGAGACAGGCAGAGCCGCTGCCTTCATCAGAGCCACAGCCCTGCTGCCGGGGACTGGGGCCCGACACTGGGGTGGGGGCTGGCAGGCAGGGAGGCCAGAGGCGGCTGGGAGCAGATGAGACAAAAAGGCTTTGTCCCCAAGCTGCCAGTCCAGCCGTCAGTCTCACTGACGGTCCAGGAGCTGCCAACAGCAGGCCGCACAGGCAGCCCCGTCCTAGCCTCCCCAGCAACAGAGGACGGATCGCAGGCTCCTCGTCACATCCCCTGGGGTATCCTGAACCTGGCCCAGACTGAGGCATCAAGCCTGTCCTCTGTCCTCAGCCCCCAGCGGGACTGGTGCAGTGGCACGTCCCCGTCACCCAGTCTCACCTAGCCACCCCCACTGCACCCGCCTGGCCCATTCCTCCCATTCCAGAATTCTCCAGCCCAGTCCGAGCTGTCCTCTTCTGCATGCGGACAGGCAGAGGGGAGTCAGGGGTGGACAGGGGCTGGCTGGCTGTGCACTGTCCTCACTGAGGCTGGACACCCACCCGTGCCTCGGGCAGGATCCACAGCCCACCACAGCCCCAGCCCCGCAGAATGGGGACCGGGGACAGGAGCAGGGCAGGAAGAGGGGGTGTGTGCAGGGATACACGGGTCTCACTGTAAAAACAGGGGTCTGACCCCCTTGTGGTTTTGCCTTTAAATACTGTGTAACTTTGTTGCTGGCTGCTCAACTCCTCTGCCCCTGCGTGGGATATGAGTCGGGCCCCAGCGCGCTGGTACCTCGAATAAACTCCTCCTGCTTTTGCATCAAAAAAA